TACATGCTTATGATTTTGTAATAAAAAGGGATGTTATTTGTGCCAGACCCTGTATATAAAAAATATACTAATTTTAATGTAATTTTATACATTCGTACATTTTTATCTCATTAAAACTTACTATATTTTAAAAATGGATGTTTCATCCTGTGAACTGTATTAGTCATGTATACTGACTCAAAGTGAGAAGAAAACAAATCAAATAAAAATATTTCCCTTAGAATCCTACTGTGTCATTTTTTCTTATTAAGCACATCTTCTCTAGTCAGAAATGAAACAAATTTGATTTTTAGGTGTGTCCTTGGAAAAGGCGAAGAGCCAGTACAGCCACTTCTGTTCTGGCCCACCTGCTGCTCCCTCATCACCCCAGGTCCCTGACCAGTGCCCTCAGAAACCCCGGGGCAACAGATGCAAGCTCCTCAGGCCTCAGAAGCAGCCAAGGAGCTGACTGTCCTGCAGAAGCTGCCTCCACTTGTGTTCAGTATTATGAGGTGTTTACTTCACAAAATGTAAAATATAACAAGAAGAATGGTACTAAATGTAAATATCCCTGTGTTTAATTTTTTTTGGCCAGTAGCATTCTTTTTTATTGTCATATAGTTAGATTTATTTAAGAATGACTTTGAAGAAGTTTGAAGCATTAAAGAATTAGTGAAGGAAGACAAATGAGGGATTATAGGTTGTAATTGAGATTTTTATATAATTCGATTATGCCACCGATTTTTGATAAATGAAAATGAGAATATCAACAATGAGCAAATGATTCTGACAATAACAGCTAGTAGCTCCTAAGAATTAGTTGTTTTCCAAGTTTATTGAGCATTAAGCCAGGAGAATTATGATGAAATATGAGATTCCATTTGAAGCATGAGATTGTGACTTTAAGCACGCTTTAAATGTAAAATTTCAGAACGATGACACTCTAATTATTTAATATCCAATTAGTCTTAATGTTTTACTGGGATAATGATAGAGATGTGGCATCATGGGGCTTATTATGTTTACAAGACCAGACCACATAGCAATCCTTCTGGGTTGCTCAAACGACATTGTTTGTGACTGAAACTTAAATGAAAGATGCTACTAAACAAAACTAATTAAATACAAGGCTATCTTTACTCATTAATATTAGTTCATGTTCAACTTTTCAGTTTATCCTCCTTTTATTTTTATTTTCCTGCTGTAGACTGGTAACAAAGGACATAGGAGAGGGAAAAAATCTCATTACTTTTTAGCCATTACTTTATCGAAAAGAAACAATACTTTATGATGTAGTGTAAGAACAAGCACCATATAATTTCTTATTCAGGTTGGCTAAGAGATGTTGAAGGGCAATCATTTTGATGAAATTTATATTTTTTAAAACTATAATAATTTGTCTTTTCTATTACAGATCAATGTAACATTGTTGGCAAATAAAAGATAATTATCCCAAAGATGTTGGAAAGGTCACCATTAATTAGCAACTCAAATTACTATAGGTTTAATTATTACTCTCATCAGTTTTATGAAAAAAGTCTATATCAAAACTACATAATATTTCATATGCACTGTCCTAAAGAAATTATTTTTATTCTGTATGTCACATTGTAGCAGTTTCCTAAGAGAACATAAGCTTCACAAAAATGGTGTATAATTGACATTTTATCCTTGTTATTTGATGAGATTGTCCTGCAAAATATAAAATATGCTATCAACACATGAGCTTTTAACACCTAAAATCATACCCTTTTTTGTCACATATAAAAAAGGAATGCCCTGCCAACATAGTCATTATCCATTAAAAAAAGAGAGATTTTGACTTGGATAATAATTCTGATATGTGTTTAAGAAAGTTCTTGTTTTTTCTTTAAGAAATTTGACCTCCTGGGAGCTTGCATTTTCTTTAACCACTTCTGTACAACAACTTCATTCCTCTCTTTCAGCTTTATTCTAAAAAGAAAAAAGTGTATAAAGAAATCTTAAATTCATTAATCTCCTATAAAAAATTAGAAAATTAGATATCATGGGGAGAAGGGTATAGCAATATCAACAGAAATTTAACCTAAGGCATAGAATTTGATAAGAACACAAAAATATTTGTCAATTGATTTTTTTAACCAAAAATTTAAAAATGTTTATATTTAATTTTGAGTGAGCTGTCATACGTATAAAATCTTTTTCCTTGCATTTATTAAATTAGAAGTAATCTGGTTTTATAGTCTCAGAATGAGTCTGGATTAGAATTAACACAGTGGGTCTGTGAGGCCTTCAGTAACACGTGCCCCTTGCAAATTTAATCAGCAGGATGGTAGTCTTGTATGAAAAATAAGAAAAGATACAAAGGGAATGGATATTTACTTTGCTGACCAATCACATATAGAATTTTGGGGAAAAATGATTGCAGTAGCTACAGATAGAAGACATTTTTTTCCTTATATAATGGGAATAAAATGTAGAAAGATAATTCTGTCTGTCATGCTTTCTAATGGAAATTGATAGATACAGGGTAGATATTAGAATAGTTTTACTTAGAAAATGAAGAATAAATTTATTTTCCATAAATATTAGTCCATTTTTGGAAGTATATTTTTAAATATTGTAAAATAGTATCATGTTTATACTTTTATCAAGACTACACCCCTAAACAAAAATGGAAAGAAGTTAAAAAGCAGCAGGAAAAGAAGATTAAAACAGCTACTTTACATCAACACAACTAAAATTAAAGTCTTTTAAATACATTGCTTAAATTCATCCTATTATCTCTTCAACTTCTACGTAAAGAAATATTTATCCTGATACGATTAAAAAATTTTCTGCACACCAGATACACTTACCGTGATGTTTTGTAATACATCTTTGCAATGGTATTTTAATCCAACATATATTCCTCAACTATCTCAGAGGTACATTGGATAGAAAATCATTGCAAGATTTCTAAGTAATAGCAATGTATTTCTAACTAAAGTGATATAATTATTATAATCACCATAATCAAAATAATGACAGATTTGAAATATAATTGTCTCAAATTGTATATTTGAGATACTGAAATTGCCCTGATTCTTAAAATATTATTCTAAATAAGTGTCCTTATTTCTGTGTTAGAGATGAAAAAACTGACTCTCCAAGAGATAAATTACTTTTTGGTATCCCAGATGGTTTGACTCCAAATGTGAACACTTTGCTCCCTCCGCACTCCCCTTCTCTACAGCTTTCTTTGTTCTCTGTATGTTTATTGAAAAGTACCAAGCAAGGAAAAGATGAGGTCACCAACAGTAGGTCCCGATGACTAGGATGTTAAACAGTTTTTAGTTTAAGCATCAATGATTGAGTATATTTCCATCCACAAACATAGGCGGCTACATCATTAGCTTATTTAAAACTAAGCATAATCTTTCTCTCTTCACCCACCCTTTCTCTCTGTTTCTTCTTTTTTCTTTTTCTCCCTCAATCGGTACTCTGTTAAAATCAGTTTAAAACAGTGGTTGGAAATACAGTCACAATACTGTTATTCTTTATATTTCCTTCAGGAAAGCATACAACAAAATGCAAATGGTATTTGATTACCCCCCAACTGAACCAGTTGCTTTGTTCTACTAGCAATAGTCATGTAGCTACTGTATTACAGTGGACACTGGAATATGGTTCTTTGTGTTTAATTTACACTTAGGCATTTACACTAGGGACCTTTTCCTTTTTTAAATCATGAACAGAAATTAAAAGAAAGTTTTATCTATCTAAAGTCTTCTCAACATTAAGAAAATTATGACATGGAAAATCTGCCTGTTTAGGACTGATTCTTCAGTTCCAACATGATAGTATTGAAATGGCTTCTGATCATTTAAACTGAGTGCTTGGTGCTTCTGAAGCAGTTTTGTATTGACAGACATATTTCTTTTCTCTAATTTTTAATACATTTGCATAGCACTCTCCTTCCTAACTGATATATTTCTAAGTATCACAAGACACTTTCCAGTTACAGTAATATTGGATACTCACTGACCAACTCTTACCCTTTACAAATGTAAATAAAATTTAAGTATTATAAATAAAATGTAATTACATTTTTTGGAAATATATGCTAAAATATAGGTTCCACTCTTGGGTTCATTAAAATGAAAAACATATCAAAAAAGTATTTCATATACTTACAAAGGAAGTAGACAGAATCAAACTCATATTTATAAATCTCACCTTTAAATGTCACATTTTTGTGTAGTTAGAAATACTGGAAACATAAATCTGCATTAAAATGATGATAAACTTATTAAGATAAAGGTGACTCAGTCCTCAAAATTGTAATTTACCATTTGAAGTGTACTTTTACATACACACCCATATACAAACACAAACTACCAATAAGTGATAGGCAATTTTTCAACAGAAAAAAAATGTATTCACTTTTAGAATTTTAACAATTACACACAAAATAAATCTTTGTGTTACCTTACATAATTACAGCTGACTTTTAATTTGCCTTTCTTTCTACAAAAATTGAGCCAAATAGCTTCTGATAAAAATTGAATCAAAATGCCATGTCATATGAATCGCTAAAATTTTTGACAATATGATAAAACACTAATACTTTATCATTAACTTATATTAATTACTTCTGAAGCCTATAAGCCTTACATTTTAGACAATTCAACATTAAATTTATAGGTAATCACACATTTTAAGATGTATTATATTCAACAATTGTTATTTCTGATTTATATAAGCTGATATTAATATTTATTGGTAAATTATTTGCCTAACATAAAGGATAGACAACATAATGTATATTAATTCAGCCCCATAATAACACATTGACAACAGGAATAACTACCAAACAGAGGACGCTTTAGTTAGCCTCATGACAAATCAAATCGTATGTGAGATAATTGATCTGTCTAGTTATATGGGATGTGTAGTTGCATGTTAGATGAATGATATGCATTTGCCTTTTCCAGTTTAAACAACCACAGAGTTTTAAATGGAGTAAGATGGTACAAACAATTTTAGCCCAAAACACTCACCTACTGTCAGCTGTCCAGTTAACTGGCCCATGTGATTTCTTGCATTCACTGTTACATTCCTGTCAGACTGTAAGACCAGTGGACTATCCTGGGAAACATGTATAAAATAAAGAAATCAAATAAAAAATAGAAATATAGTCAAAACTTAATACATAAAATTATATTCCATTTGGGTATTACCAAAATTTCTCCATTTTATATTGGTTGAACAGTATAAAGAATACGGGTGCTTCACAAAAACTACTGTACAGAATAGGAATGTGTCTCCATTGGTAAATGGGCATTAACTGTTGGATGCAAGCATTTCCAACTTTACTGATTACTGTACATCACAAGCACAACATGCTCTCTCCTTCTCTCCTCCTAACGAAATGTATGCTTGCCTTTGGAGACATAGGAGACCTTATCCAACTGCGAAAGTCTCTTTTAAAGATGAACTTGCAACTTAGAGATCTCAGCTTAAATATAACCTTGTCGAAGTTGCTTCTCCTGAGGACTGTAACTATAGATTCATTTAACTCCCAAACTCCTCGTCTCCATTTTTTCTGTTCAAAGCACTTATCATAAGACAAATTTATTTTGCTCATTTGTGTGTTTATTTGTTTTTTTAATTTTGTTTCTGTCTCAAGAAAAAATGTCCATGGGATACACAATTATATCCCCACTACTTAGCATACTGCTGAAGGAAAGCATTTACTAAGTGCTTACTGAATGGATAAATAAATCTTCATAAGATAATAATAAATATTATCTTATTTACTCCATGTAGAGATTCCTTGTAAATCATAGAGTGATTTAAGTAAGGAGGTATATGGAGCATAAGATATTTGTCTGAGATTTCTCTTTTAGTATTTATAACCTTGATTGATTTTTTTTATTACCTGTTTAGTACTTAATAGTAAAATACTTTATTGAAGGACATTATCACTGCCTAAGGAACTGATATGTTAGGCTTTTACCACCACCTGTTTCAGAAAAGTAACTTACAATTGGCTACATTATCATTTTTTATGATCTAAAACATAAGCAGCCTGATTATTTACAGACTGTCCATTCGCTCACTCATTCAACAAATATTGACTGAGCCTCCCTAGGTATGATATAGTCCTAGAACCTTGAGACATTTCGGTATTCAGAATGGAACAATACCTGCCCTTATGTAGTTTGTAACCCAGATATTGAAATTCTAAAAATATCTCCCAACACTACCTTCACCACCAAGATGGTATGTCACTTCGATGTCAATGTAAATATACAAATACTTTCATATATAAGGCATATAAAAACTCTTTCAAGGTTAGGATCAGAAATTCGTGATTTCGGTATATACAGAAAGATTTATAGGCTTGTTTCTAAAGCTGTTTTGTGCCCCTTCAGCCTAGGCACAAGACCCTGAGCAGACATATACACAAAAGCACACACACATTTTTCTCTTACAAGTGTGCTTTGCTAATATATCTAAACTAAGCCTTGAATTTTAAAAACAGTTTTCCACATTTTGAAGATTGTGTTTGTTCTGTAAACGAGCAGAGCTGTACAAATACCACTATAGTAAAATTTTATTCCCTGCTTGTCTCTCATCACAACTCATTTCTTTTTGCAACACATCAAGTTACTTCTGCAGTTTTAAAAAATCTAATCATTTTTCCACAGACATATCTATGCTTCAGGTATTCATCTTTGAAGATATCTGAAGTATTTTAAATTAATCTCATCATTCATTTTGAGTAATATGTTGAAATTCTGTTTATGTGATAAAATGATAGCAACTTTTTCAATCATGTAAAAAGGATACAATCCTAAAACCATTTATAAATCTGAGAACAAAGACATTTCTAGGTAAAAATCAGTACCAAGAAAGTACCTCTTACCAAAAAAGGTTTACGTTTAAGAAGGTTTCATATCTTCTTTCTTGTGTTCATTTCTCCAAAGGTCTCTATATAAGAAAATCACTTTCACTAATCAATCATAGGTTTCTCCTCTGTCCTTTATATTCTCTCTCTTCATGTTCCTTTATATTATATTTCTGTGTTACAAAATTTTGAAAGCTAGCCTAGTTGCAGACTGTAAAATTCAGACAACAATACTTGCATCTAGCATATTTTTGCTGAGAATATAATGGGGAGAAAATTATTTGGTGGTCTTATCTCAAGGGGTAGGAATAAAACATATGTTCTGTAAAGACAAGTGGGTGGCATTTCATTATGCACAATGGAGTGGTATAAATATGTTTTTATTCCATTGGAGAAAGAAAAACATCATGTGTAGATTCAAATATCCTTCCTCTAAACCCGGAAATCCTCCATTAGCAGGTATTTCAGCTTTCTGGAGCTGACATGCATCTTGGCTGTAACTCCAGGAAATCTATTTGCCTTTTTTATGCTGCTCTTGAGACAAAGCAGGTAGGAGATCCAGGGAGAAAGGCAATGGTACCATTAAATGGGCCTAAAAACCTGCTTACATTTCCTTCACGCACACATTCATTAGCTGAGGATATGGCTGTAACTTTGCTGCTGGCTATAGAAAAACAACTCTGACGTGTTCTTCTCATTGTAATGCCTTTGTGGTAGGCTGTGCAATTGACTAAGAGGGAAAAATGGATCTTTTCTTTGTATTTCTATTGTGTTCACCTTTGTTTATCATAAATATTCACTGAGTACCTATGATGTGTCCAGCTCTTTGACAGTCAGTGGGTGTAGAACAGAAACAAAGGAGACAAACTTTCCTGTCTTATGGAGTTCATAAACTAGTAAACCAGACAGACAATGAACCAGATAAATAACAAACAAAGCAAAACAGAGAATGTTACAGTAACAAGCTGCTGTGATAGATACTTCTCTAAAAAGCATATGTTATACTGATGAGAAGATGTGTGTATATGTGTATAAGGTGTTATATTTATATAAGACACTTCAGATTCCTATATTCATTCTTTCAAGATTAACTATTAAACTGTAATAGAAATAGCTGTAGTAGAAGCAGCAGCTAGCATTTGCTGGCACTTAATCAGTGTCGGACCCTGTTCTAAATACTTTACATGTACGAACTCATCTATCGTGATACTTTTTGTAAAATTACCCATAATTAAAATCAAGAAATAAAGTGGTTATAGGACAGACGGTGGACACTGACTGATGTCAAATAAGTCTGCCAAATGCTGGCTGCTTGACTTAGCAAGTCACACATCTCTGCACGATGATTTCTCCCTCTGTAAATAGGGCAATGAGATATAATTTGTGGGGGTATTTTAAATGAAATAATGAGATAATATATAAAAAGGTGTTCAGGTGAGGGCCTAACCTTTGCTAAGGGCACTATTAATGTTTGCTTCTATTATTTATTCCTTAATGTATTCTGGTACTTTACCAATGATAGCACTGGCTACTACCCTTTCTGTTTTACAGTGGAGAAACTTAAGCAAAGAAAGTATTCATCAGTTGCTGTAAATCACGCAGCTAGTAAACAACAGAGGATGTGTTCAAACTCAGAAATTTGGATCTAGAATCTCTCCTGTCAAGCATTGTAAGACACTGTCTCTCTGGTTGGTAATTAATTTCTAGGCTTTCTAAAATGGCAAATCAAAATCTGAAAATCAATAAAAATATTGGAACAAAATACCATTTAAATTTGCTTTTGACATTCCAATCGCTAAGAAATACCCGATGCATACACTGCCTTACAGTGCCAGACAGGACCTCCACAGCACCATCATCCACCTCTCAGCCAGGCTGGTTCCGTTTGCTTCCTCAGGCCCTAGAGGAAGGGGGCGCACCCTGAGATGCCCTGTGCAGACACGCTTTAGAATATAGCACGTCTGAGAGCCTCTCTAATTGCTACCCTAAAAGAGAACATGAATTAATGATCCATGTTGTTCAGTGTAGATGGAATAAATTTGATATGTCATTTCTGAAATTTATACAATTTTACCTGAGCTTTACCTGGTAAGTTTTCTTATTCTCACTGACAGTAATTGTACAATTTTGCAATAAACCTACTGTATGACCCAAATATCCTATCTTCCTTTTTCTCAATATTGAATCAGCTATGTCAGAAATGTTTCTTAAATATACCTTTTCTTGTCTTTCCTGTGACCACTCCTGTAATACACTGGTAACCCAAGCCAAAATAACCACTTCTTTCTTAAATTGATTTTTTTTAACATCGCTTTATATTTTTAAATTTAAAAAAGTCTTGGAATGCTCAAACTAAAGCAAAGCAAAGCAAAACATTTATTGATTCATTCCCAGGATGAAAAAAATCACATTCTTAACATCGACGGTCCATCACAGTGTCATGCAGTCCTGCTCTTGTAGCTCTATTTCACATCCCTTCGCCATGTAAGAACTCCCCACATTTTCATGTTTTGGAAAATATGCCACTTCCGTGTGTTCTCATCTTTTGTTCTCTGTGCCTGAAATTATTACCCACTTCTCCATCAACTGGCAAAGGTATAGGTATTTTTAAAGTCTCAGGTCCCAGTTAATGTCCTCTGAGAAGCTCTCCTGTGTCTCCCAAGTTAAAATTCACCTTCCACTCTCCAGTGCCTCAGTCGGGGATGACGACAATACTTCTCAAGGACTTTTTGCCTTGTTCTGTTTTTTGTTTTGTTTTGTTGTGTTGTGTTTTGTTTATACCCCTCCTAAGACTGGACTGTCCCAGAATCAAAGTGTGTTGTCATTTTCTTTTATACATATGCACTTTTGAAAGCATAGTTTGTCTCATGCTTGGCACCCAGCTCATGTTCAATAAATGTCTGGGGAGTGAATGAAGTGAACCTTATGCATGTATAGCAATGCACTCAGGTTGCATGGGTTCACCTGGGTTTATGTTCAGATCACACAGAATTTATCAAGCTCTTGCTACTTTTTTCTTTTTTTGCCCAGAGTAAGGTTTAAAAAAAAATTTAAGTGGAACAAGTTATATCACGTTGTGATTTGATTTATATTCATCATCTCTGGCTGCCCAAGGCAGACACTTCATTACTTTCCCCAACATTTGACCCACTTAAAAAGCTGCAAAATAGGTAATTTTTAGAATCCTTTGGTTAATAAAACGATTACTTGAAATTCTGTTTCCTTCAGAATGCAA